GGCTGAAAAAAGACAAAAGACCATCCAGTTCAACCATTAAGAAAAAAAAGTTATAATCCTATACCCACAGTTGATCCAGAGGAAAAAAAAAACAAGCAAAGTATGATGCAATTTGCTCCTGCAGGGGAGAAAAATTCCTTCCTGATCCCCCGAGAGTCAATCAGATATGCCCTGGATCAACTTTACCTATAAATGTTAGTATCCAGTTATATTCTGTGTATCTAAGAAAGAATCCGGGACTTTTTTAAGGCAATCCACTGAGCTGGCCAGAACCAACTCTTGAGGGAGTCTATTCCACATATTCAGAGCTCTCACTGTGAAGAAACCTTTCTGTGTTGAAAAGTATTTAAAAGTTTTTGGTTTAACTTACTTCGTAAAATATGAGCATAATTCTGTTCTTATAACTGGAAAAAGTGTAAAATGAAAATTTAGAGAATTGTAGCTCTAGATTTCAGCAGTTTTCAGATCATTTACAAAACCATGTCACCAAAAAGTGTGGATTTTTCAAGTGTTGAACTCTGGACCATCATTACATTTTTGTTTCTGCAGAAGAAAACTCTGAAGGGAATCCATGAGTGTATAATGCAAACATTAGGTGACTATTGTCCATCATACTCAACTATGAAGAGGCAGTGTACCAACTTTCAGCATGTGGATTCTGAGATTGAAGATGCAGCAAGATCTGGGAGGCCTTCAATAGTGTCAGCTCCTGAAACTGACGATCATGTTTATGACCTGATTTTGGCAGATTGTCAGCTAAAATAATTGCTGAGGCACTAGAGATGTCCCAAGAATGCACTGGGTTAATAATTAATGAGCAGTTGAGTATGCTGAAGCTGTCAGCCAAGTGGGTGCTGAAATATGTGAATGCGAGAAACAAAACCGAGTGGACACCTCTAAGTTGATTTTGCAGCATTCTGAAAGACCTAGTGATCATTTCTTGGAAAAACTTGTCACTGCTGATGAAACATGGTTACATCACAAACAACAGAAACTTGAGACTCAAAAGTCAGCAGGAAAAGTCATGGCCATTTTTTTTGGGGGGGGGGGGGGGGATAAGGAAGTATTTTGATGACTGACTATCTGTAGAAGGACCAAGTACTATTTTAACTTTCCATGCAGGGTTGGACTGACAACTCATGGGGCCCCCGGGCAATAGGGGATCATGGGGCCCCTGTGTCCTCAACCACACCCACAAAAGCCTATGAAAAAGCCAATGAAAGGTATCAGGGGCATCTCATGGGGCCCCCTACTGATCCCGGGCCCTCGGGCAGTGCCCGAGTGCTTGAATGGTCAGTCTGCCCCTGTTTCCATGCTGATCAAAGATAAAGCCATGTCAATAAATAGTAAGGGTTTTTCAAGTGTTGACCTTCTGAAGTTTTTGTTTCTTCAGAAGAAATTTCCAAAGAAAATCCATGAGTATTTGATGCAAACATTAAGTGACATATACACTATACTGCCAAAAGTATTGTGCCACCTGCCTGTACACGCACATGAACTTTAATGGCATTCCAGTCTTAGACCGTAGGGTTCAATATTGATTTGGCCCGCCCTTTGCAGCTTCAACTTTTCTGTGAAGGCTGTCCACAAGGTTTAGGAGTGTGTCTATGGGAATGTTTGAAAATTCTTCCAGAAGCACATTTGTGAGGTCAGACATTGATATTGGACGAGAAGGCCTGGCTCGCACTCTCCGCTCTAATTCATCCCAAAGGTGTTCTATCAGGTTGAGGTCAGCCCAGTCATGTTCCTCCACTCTAAACCTGCTCATCCATGTCTTTATGCACTGGTGCACTTGCTTTGTGCACTAGTGTGCAGTCATGTTGGTACAGGAAGGGGCCATCCCCAAACTGTTCCCACAAAGTCGGGAGCATGAAATTGCCCCAAATGTCTTGGTATGCTGATGCCTTAAGAGTTCCCTTCACTGGCCAAGCCCAACCCCTGTAAAACAACCCCACACCATAATCCTCCCCCCAACAAACTTTACACTTAGCACAATGCAGTCAGCAAGTACCATTCTCCTGCCAACCACCAAACTCAGACACCTCCATGGGATTGCTAGACAGAGAAGCATGATTTGTTACTCCAGAGAACACATCTCCACTGCTCTAGAGTCCAGTGGCGGCATGCCTTACACCACTGCATCTGAAGCTTTTGCATTGCACTTGGTGATTTAAAACTTGGATGCAGTTGCTCAGCCATGGAAACCCATTCCATGAAGCTCTCTATGCACTGTTGTTGTGCTAATCTGAAGGCCACACAAAGTTTGGAGGTCTTTAGCTATTGACTCTGCACAGGTGGCAACCTATCATGGTACCATGCTTGAATTCATTGAGCTCCTGGGAGCGATCCATTCCTTCAAAAATGTTTGTAGATGCAGTCTGCATGCCTAGGTGCTTGATTTTATACACCTGTGGCCATGGAGGTGATTGGAACACCTGAATCCAATGATTTAGAGGGGTGTCCCAATACTTTTGGCAATATAGTGTACCTTACATGCACAACTGTGAAGAAGTGGTGTAACTACTTTCAGTATGAAGATTTTTAGATTGAAGAAGTAGCAAGATCAGGGAGAGACCTTCAAAAAAGTCTACTCCCGAAATTGCTGGTTGTATTTATGATTTGATTTTGTCAGATCAGCAGACCTCAGCTAAAACAACTGTTGAGACATTACAAATATCTTGAAAATGTGTTGGGTTTATAGTTCATGAGCAGTTGGGTATGCAGATGTTGTCAGCCAAGTGGGTGCTGACATTTTTGGAATGTGAGAAACACCTCTAAGTTACACCCCATAGTGACACCACTATCATTCAGAGCAACAGCAGACATTGGAGTGGCTGCACTTGGTTCTCCACACCCACTGAAGTTTAAGATCCCAAAGTAAGCAGAAAAAGTCAGGTATTTTCATGACCAAGTAGAGTTAATGGAGAATACTTTTCTGACTTCTGTGCCAATTAAAGAAGATGTTGAAAGGAGAAGGATGAGCTTCGGAAAGGTATTCTATTTTACAGGACAATGCACTTACTCGTGAAGGCTGGCAGGATGATGGATGTTTTCAAGAATTTGGGGTTTCAGTGCATAGAGCACCCTGACTATTTCCTGTTTCAAATCTTTAAAAAAATTTGAAAGGGAGGAAAATTTGAAATTATTCACAGGGCATAGCAACAGTGGGGCAGTTTTTCAGTCACCAAACTTCAGAATTTTCTGGAAGGGTTAAATAGACTTGAGAAGCAACACACCAAATGTGTTGAACTTCACGGTGAATATATGGCATAGCCTTTAAGTTTCCGGAATCTAAGTCATTCCCATTTTGGTCTGGCTTGGAACTTTTCAGCACCCTGTCATAGCATGCCATCGTTGCTGCCTCCTCTCTTCAGCTTTCAAACTTTTAGAGCCAATGATCCTAAATAACCATGCAGACAGGGAAAGCACAGTGAAGTCACAGCATCTAATCTGCATACACAATTCATTGCTTTTCAGAGCATACAGTAGGCTAGTGTAAACCTAGCCAAACATGCTCTGAGTAGGTATTATAGCTCAGGACGTGTTAGGCTAGGTAAACAATCCTGCTGCCTACTGAATGCCTTTTATTTTTATTTTAACAGCAGTAATGACCAGCAACCACGAGCCAAGCTTTTGGGGTTCCAGAGTTGCTCTATTGATTTGAATGGCAAAGCTTGACAGGCAATGTTGCCTCAACTCAACATGGTAAATTGCCATTGACAGAAAGAATCATGGCCACCGCATGTCAATAGTGTCCTTCAGCTGTGTTTTAGACCTTAGGTGAGTGGCTGGGGGGTAGTAAAACCTTTTTACTAACACCCCCCCCCCCTCCCCAGACGGCCATGTGAATGAGGCCTTAATGTGATCAGAAATGGCTTCACAACCAGGAAATAGTCATTTTCAGATTTTCAGAAAGAGAATTCAACAGTGGAACCTAACACATTTCCTGTAATGCAAATTCCCTTTAAATATATTTAGAGCATCTGCTGCCTTTAATATCATCTGCTGCTGTTAATCCATACATGGAGATTATGTGGCTAATACAATGTATAGTTGAACACTGTTTACACAATATTTGCATGTGCAAACAGTTCAAAGTAAACATTTCTTGAGATGCATTTTATTGATGGCTTATGAAGATAGAAGAGAATGAAAAGAAACATTATTACACCAAAATAAATACATTCATGATCCCATCATTTCTTCAACTCTGAACACTTATCAGAAGAGAAAATCAACAGAATATTCAAAGTAATGACTCCTTTATTTTCTGTTCAGTAATATTTTACAGAAAACGAGAAATTCAGTTTTTGATAGATGATGAGAGATTAACCACCTGACAGTTTTTCTTATCTCTTAGCCGCTCTATTGGTGAGATAATGCGCATGCTCCAGTGTGTGTTGTCAACAGACACTGCGATGTGTTGTTAAAATGCATTGCAGTGCTTGCGGTTTTTCCTTTTTTTCCCAAAAAATTCAGCATGTGCTACTTTTTTTCAGTGCACATCAACACAGCACATTGTTGTGAACTGATGCCACAGGACATAAGGCCCGAATGCAAGTGTACAATCCAACCGTGCATGTTCCTGTGTTAAAACTGGCTGTGCGTATAAGTGGGTGCTGCAGCGACCGTCGGCTGGAACCGAACGGAATCAGCAAGGGAAATTATCACCAGCAAACGGAGGATCACCAATGTGGGTCCAAAAGTTTTAATGAACAATCACATAGTTACAGCAAGGCAACGTTTTGGAGTCGCGCAGGACCCCTTCATCAGACATGTCACATGCCTGATGAAGGGGGACCTGCGAGACTCCGAAACGTTGCCTTGCTGTAACTATGTGATAGGACATAAGGCCAATCGCCTTGTTCTTGCATTGGGAATCTGTTGGGCAACCCTACCCTGTGAGCGAGCCTTTCCTCTTACGTTTCTGGGTTTGAACATCTTCTGTAGCCAATGTGTGGGTTCCCACACTCAGCTGGATTTTTAAAAACATATTAGTATGACAAATGAAAAAAGAGCTGGAACCAGGGGCGGACTGACCATTTGGAAACTTGGGCACTGCTCGAGGGCCAGAGGTCAGTAGGGGTCCCCATGAGATGCCCCTGGTACCTTTTTCATAGGCTTTTTTGAGTTTGGGCAAGGACACAGAGGCCCCATGATCCCCTATTGCTCGGGGGCCCCATGAGTTGTCAGTCCGCCCCTGGCTGGAACTCACAATGTTTACCAGGAACACCCAGAACTCCCAGGTGGACAGAAATGGGAATTAGGGCAAGGAGCTCTTGCTACTGGAGTACCCAAGACATACAAGATGTAGGGATGAGATGAGGCATGTTTGATCCTAGTCTGAACAATCATAAGCGGCCGAGGAATTACCCACCCTGCAATCTCACATATACAAGGAATATATATACGCGCAGCTGTGGGACAGGGAATGCTTTTGCTGCTTATGATTGGCCAAGGACAGTGACAGCTTTTTGGTGGGATTGCTCTGGAGGGTCTGGACTAAGATCAGAATATTATTATTATTATTATACAGGATTTATATAGCGCCAACAGTTTGCTCAGCGCTTTACAATATAACGGGAGGCAATACAGCAACAATACAGTTCAATACAAGAGGGATAGGAGGGCCCTGCTCCTTGGAGCTTATATGCCTGAGCTCAGCCCTAATAAGAAGCCAGGGGCTGGTTTGGAATTTCAGCCTCCACCTTTGAGGTATCTTTCACATAGCCATAGAGATGTGGCAAAAACAAATGTTTTAGGCGCGTTTTTAATGCTCCTTTACCGCCTACCAGAGCGCTAGGTAATGAAAACAGTGGCATGCTTGTAACTGTCAATCTTGCAATGCCTCATGGGACTTGTAGTTTGGCAACTGCTGGAGGGCGCGCCAGTTTGGCACTTGTGCACTAGTACATTAGCATCACTTTGCTTTGAGCCACTTCCATAATTTTAGGGCATGCTGTGTTCTCGAGGTCTTTCCACATTCTCAATTAAATTCAATTGCTGTGCACCAAAAATAAGCCTATAGTGTTTTTGACATGTTCAGCACGTTTTTAAAGTTTTCACAGTGTGTAGGTACAGTCACTTCCCTTTGTGAAACCCCCCCCCCCCCCCGAAAACCAAAGTTGGCATCTAGGGAGCATTTATTAATGTACCATACTGCGCATAAAATGTGAGTTAACACTATTGCCGAGTTAACCTGCGTTCATTATTTTGCCGCATCTCAAAACTGAGATTAAAAGGCCTTAAAGTGTAAACTTGTACTTTTTTTTAAAGTCTTGGATAGAGCAGTTACAGGTCAGAGCCCCTGTCAGGTTTTTCTTGCTGTCTTTGCCCCTTGCTGAGGAGATTCAATTTCTTTGATTATCCTGGTGGTCAGGGCTGAGGGGTCTACAGGTCAGTTATGTAATACCTCCCCTGCTCTAGAAGCTTGAGACGTTTCTAGAAGGCAGTGGGTGGAGGTGAGGAGGGGCTGATCTGCATACAAGGGATTCTGACTAATCCCCAAGTAGGAGGCTTGGTATGTGGTCAGAACAGCCTTTAACCACTTGCCGTCCACCTGCTGTTTATAAACGGCAGGACGGTGGCACTCCAGGGGCGGGTTGCCGTGCATAAATGGAATCCGCATTTTCTAGCTGTGCGCGCTCCCTGGGAACATGCAGCACTGTGATTCGGTGCCCGCTGTGTCCTCCGGACACAGTGGAACACCAATCGGCGGACGGGACCTCTGTGCGAGATCCCGATCATGTGATCACTCGTTGGCCAATCAGTGATCACATGCAGAGTAGTAAGCAAGATGTCACTTGTGACATCATTGCTTACTACGTGGGAAATCTGTGAATGATCACAGAGGTCACATGGTATAAGGTTATTCACAACAGCCTTGTACCATGTGACAAGCTGTGACCAATCACAGCTCACACAGTAGTTCTCAATGACTGCAAGAATGCAGCTAGAGAGAAGGAGAAATGATTGCTTTTACAGCCTTTATGGGTGTAAAAGCAATCAGTGTAAAAAAAAAAATAAAAAAAATCTTCATCACCCCCCACAAGTAGTACAGTGTCACCATGGTGACACTGTACTGCTAGGGTGACAGTAAGTTAAAAATAAAAAAATAAATAAATAATAATATGAAAAAATAAAAAAAGAAATGTTTAAAAATTATAATTTTTGTTTATAAGCTAATTTGGGTTATTTATTTATTTTTACTAAAAAGATAACGGAATACATTTTGGCCAAGATTTATGATGAAATACTATTTATTTGCAAAATTTTATAAGAAAAACACTTTTTTTCAACATTTTTGGACTTTTTCTTTTACATAGGAAAAAAATAAAAATCCCACTGGTGAATAAATACCACCAAAATAAAGCTTTATCTGTCTCAAAAAAAATTCTAAAAGATTCATATGGGTACAGTGTTGCATGACCGCGCAATTGTCATTCAAAGTGTGATAGCGCTAAAAGCTGAAAATTGGCCTGGACATGAAGGGGGTGAAAGTGTCCGGACTGGAAGTGGTTAAGTATGAAAGAGCCTGACAATGACGTGGTCAGTGTCAGGTGGATGATGCAGTGAGAAGGCTGGAGTGTGGAGCTTGGGAGGGGCCCAGGAGAGGGGCCTACCTGCAGGCAGGAGCTGGAAGGGAGGATCTCTCAGCCTTAACTGTCCCCTGACAGAGGACAGCCTGGGAAGCAGGGAAGGAACCAGCCCAGCATAATGCCTGAAGGCAGCCACCGACCCACAATCTTGCAGGAGAGGACTGAGTGAGTAATCACACACTCCCTGGGCCAGATAAGGGGACAGGGCATGCGGGTGGGAACTACTAAAGGTGGGAACTGCACTGGCCTAGCACATTATCTCAAATAACACACACACCAGCAGCCTTCCCTTGGAGCAACCTTCCCCACAACATTTAATTTTTTTAATTGTCTTTTCTAAACTACCTTTTTACAGGGGTTTCCTGAACACTCTTTTGTTGAGTAGGGTTCTTTGCTTCATCTTTTCTGGTCTTCAATGAAGTAATGGCATAAAGCAAGGCACTACCATCATTGTCAGCTCTATTCTCTGCAGTATTGAACTATGAAGGAATGAAGGAGACCATGATGACACTGACCTGGGCTCACAGGAAGTGGTTTGAATTATGATGGGTGCTATTGCACTATCATGGACTGAGTTGGGCTTTAAAGCAGGACTAAATGTAAACATTTTTCTTTTTCATTTTGGAGTAAAGAGAAGATATAACCCTTGTCAATTTGTTTTTCATCAGTGTTGCATTAAGGAGATTTCCCTTGACTTCCTGTCCCACAGCCCAAACAGGAAGTGAGTGGAAATTCCTCCAAAGTAAAGAAATCACTGGTTGTCACCAGAATTAGTGGAAGAATTCCCCTCTATCCCTGTTCTGGTGACTACCCAAAATCTGCGATTTTCTTTCTCTTTAGTATTGGTGATAACGGTAAACAGGACAAATAGAGAGGGTTAAACTCCCTAACGGGGACACAGAGAGTAATACAAACCTGACAGGTGTTCTAAGCCCTCTCCACTCTATCCAAATTGAAAAAAAAATGCTTGCCTTCTAGTTATACTTTAATGGTTGGACATTTAAAAGATAATAAAAGCACAGATATCCTTTGAACTGAACTTACATAAATCACTTATCAGAGTTTTTAGTACAAGTTTGTTTTAAAGTACATCTGTGCTCAGATTACAGACAGTAAAGTACCTACATGTTTTCACCAAACAGTAAAAATGTTTCAAAAGAAGCCCTCACTGAGCTCTATAGCTGCAAGTATCAGGAGAAATTCATCCCCAAAATTCACAACATAGACACCTAAACCACAGTCCTTTCTTTTCTGTGGCAGCAAAAACATGGCAGCCAGGTGCTGTAAGCTGTTAGAAACCACTGACACTGGTTTCAGTGTTTGTTATGATATTTGAGGATGTTTAACCTCCCTAGCGGTCTGATTATGTCAATATTTCTGTGCTGAAAGCGGTACATTTTTTTGCATGGAAATATGTTGGTTTTTTTTATTGTAGGCCTGTAATTTTTAGGAATAACCCACTGAAATCTGTCCGAACAAGAGTCTAGTAAACATCCCAGGAAGGATAAAACTTGAAACACGAAATCATAAATTATAATATAATAAATAATCAAAAAAAAAAATAATATAATAATAATAATAAATTTAATTCAATAATATAATCAAACCAAAAACAGTGAAATTTGAAATAGAGCGCCAAGTTAGCACATAACTGAGCAAAGTCGCAAAATCGTTTTGACGAATTTCCCCACAAATCATTATCACTCAATTCTGCAAGTGGTTCTGATTTACTATCGCTGTTCTCTAGCTGGTCTAAAACCGCTTTTGACCTAAAGGGACGCTTTTTGGACGCCATGGACTTTTCTCAGTTTCCAGGCAGAAAGAACAGTAAAAATGCAGGCAGGGCACAGGACAAAGCACTAGGGACAAAATGTATGTGAAACGCTTTGATACAGTAATGTTTTGCTATGTAATTTTATTGTATTAGTGAATGTCAGTTTTTAAAACTTTAAAATTTCCCGCCGGTTCTGGCCCCCGTACGCCCCGATGCTCGCAGGGACCGGAGCCCGGAAGACGGATGCCGGCATCGGCCAGAGGAGATGGCCGGGGACGCTGCAGGGGGGACATCACGGGACCGCAGGACAAGGTACGTGCTGCAGGGAATTCCTGAGCAACGCTGCAGGGTATTCCCGAGTGTAGCTCGGGGTTACCGCTTTTGGTATTGAAACTTTACCCCGAGCTACACTCAGGAATACCGCCAAGGAGGTTAAGGATGAATTGCTCACATAGTACCTACAACTACAGAGGTCAGTGGGGGCTTGTTTCAAAACTGCTAGTTAAGAACATTCAGGACCGTAATACATTCATATACGTTGCGGTTTTAAAGTGGAATACCAGAACTATGGCTGCAGTATTAAAATTTACAGCAGCCGCTGTTGTTTCTTTTTAAGTGGTTGTAAACCTCAGACATGAAATATGAACAAAGCATATCCCTCTATAGACCCCAGATCTCTCCATAAAGAGGACCTGTCATGATTTATTATTATCATAAGGGATGTTTACATTTGTTGCGATAGCAATAAAAATTACATATAAAAAAATAAAAAAATAAAAGAACAGTGTAAAAATAAAAAAAATTATAAAATAAAAATAATAATAATATAAAAAAAAATTAAAGTGCCCCATCACCCTGTGTTTGTACGCAGAGGTTCCTGACCCAGAAATGTGTGCGATGAGAATATTGACATATTCGTGTGCAGTGGTAAGCACATACGTAGGTCAAGCCCACATATGTAAACGATGTTTGCACCACACATCTGAGGTATCGCCGCAAACGTTATAACGAGAGCAATAATTCTAGCGCTAGGCCTCCTCTATAACTCTAAACTGACTGGCAACCTGTAAAGGCTTTTTGTGTGTCGTCTATGGAGATGTTTAAGTACCGTAATTTGGCACCTTTCCACCAGCGTGCGCAAATTTAAAGCATGACATGTTTGGTATCTGTTTACTCGGTATAACATCATCTTTAAAATTGTACAAAAAATTGGATTGTATATTGTGTTTTTTTTAATTCATTAACCACTTCAAGTCCAAACACTTTTACCCCCTTCCTGTCCAGGCCAATTTTCAGCTTTCAGTGCTATTATTATTATTATTATTATACAGTATTTATATAGCACCAAGAGGTTTGCTCAGCGCAGTGCTATCACATTTTGAATGACAATTGCGTAGTCATGCAACACTGTACCCATATGTATTTTTTTTGGAGACAGATAAAACTTTATTTTGGTGGTATTTATTCACCACTGGGATTTTTTTTTTTTTTTGCTATATGAATGAAAATGTCCAAAAATTGGGGAAAAAAATTGTTTTTCTTATAACATTTTGCAAATAAATAATCTTTCTTCATAAATCTTGGCCAAAATTTATTCGGTTATCTTTTTAGTAAAAAAAAAATAACCCAAATTAGTTTATAACCAAAAATGATATATATATTTTTTAATATTATTATTATCATTTTTTTTTAACATACTGTCATCCTAGCAGTACAGTGTCACTATAGTGACACTGTACTATCTGTGGGGGTTGATGAAGATTTTTTTTTTTTTACACTGATTGCTTTTGCACCCATAAAGGCTGTAAAAGCAATCATTTTTCTCCTTCTCTCTTGCAGCCATTGAGAAATACTGTGAAAGCTGTGATTGGTCACATCTTGTCACATGGTACAAGGCGGTTGTGAATAGCCTTGTACCATGTAACCTCTGTGATCATTCACAGATTTCACTAGTAGTAAGCAATCTCAGGAAGTGAGATCTTGCTTACTACTATTCATGTGATCATTGATTGGCCAATCAGAGATCACATGATTGGGACCTCACACAGAGGTCCCATACAGCGTTTGGATGTCCTCCGGACACAGAAGGCACTGGATCGTGGTTTCAACACTCCCAGGGAGCGCGCACAGCTTGAAAAAGCGGAGCCGTTTATGAACGGCAACCCCCTCCTGCACTGCTCCTGTCCAGCCCATGTACATAAACGGCCAGACGGGAGCAGTGTTTAAAATATATTTTTGTGAAAAAACTGCATTTGAAAAACTGCTGCGCAAATAACAAATGACATAAAAAATTGCAACGATCGCCATTTTATTCTCTAGGGTTTCTTTTAAAGTCATTTTCTAGCAAAAAATGCAGATTTTTTACAAAAAGTGCCAGAAAATATTTGGTCCTTACGTAGTTAATGTCCAGAGCAAAGGTGTACTTTTACCCTTTTCTTTACAGAAATACACCAAGACAACATAGCCATCAGTAAGAAAAAAAAGACATCACAATTTTATTGGACGCTCCATTGCAAGACATTTCCAAAGAATACAAACTTCTTTGACCCCCTCCCCAGGAACATTTACAGCAATAAATAAAGACAGGGTCATTATAAAGAGAACGAGACTACATCATCTGTACCGTGGGGCCTGCCGTAGGAGGCAGGGCACAACACTGCTTGGAGAAGGGAGTGTATTCGCATAGGAATAAGTGAATTCAGAGATCTGTAATCCATGCCAGTATCTCCGCAGTTAGACGGTTAATGAGGTTACGTTTATGAGAAAACACAAATGTCCTTAGAAAATGGCTGGAGTTCTGCATCTGTGCGGATGGTGTTCTTCTAGCTATGTGTAAGGAACCCAAAACACTTCACTCTGATACTGTTTGTCGAAGTTTGTTAGAGCACTGTTTGATGCATATAGTGTGTAGGTGGAACAGGGTAGCGGAGAAGGATAGGGATGAAAGGAGACTCCAGCAAAAGAGTAACGAGCGGGATTAGAGGCATGTACAGTCAAATAAAGGCATTGTTCTTTGATGTGCTCTTAGAGTCGTTGGCTGCTCACTCTCTCACCAGCAGAATGTGCTCTTCAGATCAGCAACATTGAAGCCCAATCGGTGGAAGGTTTTTCATCTAGATCAACAGCAACCTCTGCTTGGCCTTTAGCAAGTTCAGAGTTTCCAGGTCACACAGGGGCTGCACATGACCAGAGCATCTTCACACACCACCCCGTCCCCCAGGCCAAACAGGATCAGAAGGAACTCAGGTATTCCAAGGCAACTTCATATACATATTTATATTGCTCCTGAGGAGGAAGAAAAGGACATGTAAGGAAGAGCATGGTATAGATATAAAAGAAAAATAAAGAACTGCTACTACAACCTTTTTTTTTTCTTCAAAAGAGTGTGAAAGGGTTACAACCTCTGCCAGGTTCTTATCCTTGTTAGATAGTATAATGGCGTGCGGAAACCTTGGTTCAGGTTGGACCTGCCATTTGGGTGTGGGATGTTTTCTGGTAGGCAGCGATCTCTAGTGCAGGGGCTGTGGTTAGGCCCTTGAAACACTATGTTAAGGAATAGTTGGAAGAGGAGCACCACATTATTCTAGCCCAGAAATGGTTCATTGATCACAGTCTTCATTCCAAAAAGTAAATGTGCTCCAGGGGCTTTAGAAGTCCCCTTACATCAGGGCTTAGCGACTTTTGAAAATATTTGATGTTTGGACAGACAATAATATTGTGTCAATGAGATTATATCAGGGTTTTAAAACCTACCCAGGTCACTGGTCTAGGTTTTTATCCCCTTTTGGGTTCCTGATTACCATTGCCTCTGGAGAGGATCTAAAGGGAATCACTACAATGCAAATACAGACAGCAATAAAAACCTAGCAGAAGTCCTCAATCTTTCCATTCTATGATAAGCAAGGCTGCTATTAGAAATCATGGTCCCGTCCAGCTGCCCCTCTGCAGGTATTAAAACAATATTTTTGCTAAACACACACTAAAATCAATATTAGTGGACACAACTACAAAATAACTTCTAAACCCTAAAAGGATAAAACTGAAGAGACTTGCATCCTCATCGAATAACAGGTCCAGCTGCATAAACAAACACTCATTCACACTGTATGAGCCAGAGA